CTCAGGCATGTGGAGGATTTTGCCCCTAGAGCGGTGTACACCAGCGGTAAAGCCAGCAGTGCCGCCGGTCTGACTGCTGCTGTGGTCAAAGACGAGGAGTCGCATGAGTTCGTCATTGAAGCAGGAGCCCTCATGTTGGCCGATAATGTATAGTTGGCCATTTCATACATTTAGTTCTTGAAATGATTGGTTTGAACTGACTTTTCTAGAAATATTCCTGTAAATCTATCAGTATGTTCCAATTACTTGTATATTAGAATTGTAATTTTAGCAGCAGAATAGCAATGATCTGTCAACCTCTTAGAGTGTGTTAGCACTCATATTTGTCATCAGAATAAAGATCTATTTTATGTCTTGTTTATAGGGGGTTTGTTGTATTGATGAATTTGATAAGATGGACCTTAAGGACCAGGTGGCCATTCATGAAGCCATGGAGCAGCAGACCATCTCCATCACAAAGGCGGGTGTTAAGGTGTGTAACCCTAGACATTGTCTGTTTAATCCATAATCCACCTCGTCTAACCCGTATGTGTGTTCAAGGCCACTCTGAATGCTCGCACCTCCATCCTGGCCGCTGCCAACCCCATAGATGGCAGATACAACCTATCATGTCCAGATTTGATCTCTTCTTCATACTGGTGGATGAATGCAATGAGGTAAGATCTTTCAGCATTTTCATTTCTTAACGTTTGCGGTCTTGTTTTTTATTTTATTATTATTTTTTTTTAAATAAATAATCCTTATATTTGGATGCATTACATTGATCAAAAGTTATAGTAAAAATGTTAATATTGTTACACAAGATTTATATTTCAAATAAATGCTGTTCTTTTCCATGCTGCTCACCTTGTTTTCGACAAAATTAAGCAGCACAGCTGTTTTCAACATTATTAATCAGAAATGTTTCTTGAGCAGCAAATCAGCATATTAGAATGATTTCTGAAGGATCATGTGACACCGAAGACTGGAGTAATGATGCTGAAAATTCAGCTTTGCATCACATGAATAAATTATATTTTAAAATATATTCAAACAGAAAACAATTGTTTTAAATTGAAAAAATATTTCACAGTATTACTAATTTTACTGTATTTTTTGATCAAATAAATGCAGCCTTTGTGAGCATCGGAGACTTCTTTCAAAGACCTCAAAAATCTGACTCCAACTTTTGAATGGTAGTGTACAAAAAGCACAAATTTTGTGTTTTTCTACAAGGTTACAGACTACGCCATCGCCCGGCAGATTGTAGATCTTCATGCCAGGAATGTTGAGTCGGTAGAAAGAGTTTACAGTACTGATGAAATCCAGAGATACATTCTGTTCGCCCGACAGTTTCAGCCAAAGGCAAGATACTATACGTTATTCAAGTTGCTATTCACTGAAATGTTGTCCTTTGCTGTAGATCTCAATCTTTTTTTTGTCGTTTTTGGAGCTAGACATTCAGAATAAAGTCATACAGGTTTGGAATTACCTGAAAATGATGATTAATGATAATAAATAAGATGATAATTGACCTCATAACTCTGCATCTGTAGATCACCTCAGAGGCTCAGGAGTTCGTGGTGGACCAGTACAAGCGTCTGCGGCAGCGGGATGGAGGTGGAACCACCAAATCATCCTGGCGGATCACTGTGAGGCAGCTGGAGAGCATGTTGCGTCTGTCTGAGGCCATGACCAGACTCTACTGCTCGGATGAGGTGTGCATCCGTCGTGCAATGGATGATGTTCCCAAAAACTAGGGCTGCACGATAAATCGCATGCGATATTTAACGCGCATCTTGTCAGAAATCCGGTTCTGTAATCAGCGGTAAATCTCCATCACCTGCGGGCTTTCACATTGAGCAGCATTAACTACACAGAGCCGTTGTTCACCGACGAGTTGCGCAAAAAATCGCGCGAATATGAACGTGGTTTTGCGCAGCTCGTCAGTGAACAACGGCTCTGTGTAGTTAATGCTGCTCAATGTGAAAGCCCGCATGTGTTGGAGATTTACCGCTGATTACAGAACCGTCTTTACTGACAAGATGCTCGTTAAATATCGCATGCGATTTATAGTGCAGCCCTACCAAAAACTGTTTCAACATGCACCAGTGTGCATCAAACATAGCTTATGCAGAGTTTGAAATGTGTCCTCGTGCTCTTCCTTTGGAAAGGTTCAACCCAAACACGTGAAAGAGGGGTTTAGACTCCTGAATAAGTCTATTATTCGTGTGGACTCTCCTGACATCAATTTTGACCAGGTGCAGGATGGCGACAACGTGAATGGTGAGATGGACATCTTTTATACTTTTTAATCCCTTGTTGTGAAATGAGACCCTTTGTCAAAAATATCAGTATAAAAAATCCGTAAATACTCGGAACAGTAAAAAAAATAAGCTTTATTTGTTTGCAAAAGCCACCTACTGGCAACTAAGTGCATCTTAATTGTCCAAATACTTTTTGCCACTCTAGTTTGACACAAGTGTCACTTTACCAGCAATGGTATCATTAAAATCAGACATCAGAAGTCATGACTAAATTGACTGATTTGAGTTGTTCTTCCACAGATCAGAATGACCTGATTGGTAAAGAGACAGAAGGTCAGAATGGAGGTGAAGTGAACGGCCATCCGGTGGAGGCCATGGACACTGATGGGGTGGAAAAGCAGGAGAAGCCAGCAGCAGCCAAACCTGCTCTCAGAATGTCGTTCGCTGAGTACAAGAGGGTCTCCAACCTGCTGGTGCTGCACATGCAAAAGATGGAACAACGTGAGTCCTGATTTTTCCATTACAATAACATCTCAGACAGAATTGATTCATTCATTCTCCTCCCTCCCTGCCATTAAATCTAATATTTATCAATTTCTTATTTTATGCATTATATATATATAAAAAAAAAAGGATTATTATTTAATTTTTTTTATGCTTTTTGTATTCCCATTGCGGTAAAAGTTGTTAGTTGTGCCATCATCAATCAATGATTATCAAACTGTTTTTGTCTGTCATTTGATTTTTAATAATTCTATTTATTTATTTTAATTTGCTTTATTTTTTATTTTACTTAAATTAAACAAAAAAGAAATAAATAAAGTTAATTTAATTTTTCTTAAATAAGAAAGTATTTTATTTTTTTTGCAATTTAAACCATGCTTTACTGTGTGATTCTTAAAGTGTCTGACCAACCAACTGGTTGATAATTTTCAAACAAATTTTGGACTAATTCTTGGATTAATTTTTGTCTCGGGTTGTGCAGATCTAGTTAAAGTTATCAAGAGCATAAACTGAAGGATGAAATAATGAAAACGTAATTGCTTTGCGTTGACTGCATTGTTGAAATGAATGAGGGTTGTGTTTTTAGTGGATGAGGAGTCATCTCTGAAGAAAAGTGAGCTCATTAACTGGTACCTGAAGGAAATGGAGAGTGAAATTGATTCAGAAGCTGAACTTGTTGCTAAGAAGAATCTCATTGAGAAAGTGCTGTACAGACTCATCCATTACGTTAGTATGCATATCACTCTTTAATCAGCTGGAAAATGCATTGTTTATTTGAACTGAAGCAGTGTAACATGCCCGTAACGTTTTCTTTTTAAGGATTACATCATCATAGAGCTGACTAAAACAGGACTGAAGAAGATCAGTGAGGATGGAGATGAGCCCGTCATGGAGGAGGAACCGTTTCTGGTGGTGAATCCCAATTATATACTGGACGACTAGTCAGACTGGTTTAACAACCTTGATTATTTTTTACTTGCTGATGCTTCTATAATATTAAATCATGACTAATGTAATATGCAACATTTTTGATTGAGTAAATCAGAAAAAAATAAATAGATTTATATTTTGCATTTATGTGTCATTTGTTTATTGAACACTAGATGGCAGTGGATCCCAGTATCTTAAATATTGAAAAGTACATAAATACAAAGTGCAGAAGAAAAAGGTCAAAGCAATAGGGACTATCAAACCATCATATAGATGGCAGTTATATTTATTTATTATATCAAAAGACAAATGTGCAGTATTTTGGGGGAAATTAAAATGTGTAATTTCACTAAAATGAATGATCAGTTATCCGGCTGATCTGTAATCTTTCCCTTTGGAAAGATTGTTAGTCTTGCAAAAACTTAAGTTAAATAAAAGTTCAAATTCCAGTTACAACTCACCCTACGCTTTTCTTATGTTTATATTAATTATTTATATATTATCTATGGAAACTAGTGAGCAACATGAAGGCATCATGTGATTATCTTCATGATTTTTATTTTGCAAATCACAGCACTTGTTTCATATAGTCTGCTTCTAAAATAAGGTTTAGCTGCTGGCCTATTTTGTCACCAGTCAGCTAAAATGGGCCACTGACACTTGTCCCTTTATTAAAATAATATTAAAAGAATCTCCATTTAATTTATATCAATTGACATTGTTTGAATGCAGTATCCTTAAAATTAGTTATACACGCATAAGTTTAGAAAGGAATTTTTAGTAGTAAAATTGTACAAATGTAATTGTGAAAAAATTGTGAAAAAAAAAAGAATGAATAAAACTCATAAAACTCATAAAAGTATTATTTTGAAATGTTATGCTCATGTTTGTTCTATTTTGGTCTTATTTTAAAACAATCTCTCTTTATTGAACCACCTTCTTTTACACTTTTATTGTAATACCCTATTATAAATCTAATAAGATACCGTTGTAACAGAGGAAAGTCTTGTGTTCTCGTTGCTGTACAGATTCGCTGGCCGAATAGAATAGAACGTTCTATTTTGTTCGCGTCGTTCACTCTGTGCGTGCGTCGTGCGTGCGCGTGCGCGTGCTGAGACCCGCCACCTGAACCGCGCGCCGCCAGAGCGGCTATAAAACAGGTCGCGCGCGATGTCGCTGTCATATCAAGAGTTTATTACATCTCGTTGACACTCAGGATGATACGATTTCGTTTCAACAATTTTTTTTAAGTTACTTCAACCGTTATCATCGGCTGAATGTGGATTTTGGTGAGTGTCACTTATATGTTCAGTATTTGAAACAACAGATATTTTCTCTGAGGCGATGTGTAAAATGTTTATAGCAGTTTTTTATTGTGTCTCTGTTTGTTGTTACACTTCCACACCTCGTTGTTCTGTTTCCCTCTGGTTGTTCCACAGGTGTAAAGCTGTTTGCCAGGAACCAAAAGGCTCGTTTTCAGCGCATCTTGGTTTTGAGGTCTTTGGAGAAATGATTCCGCCTGGAGACCGTCTGTACGCCGGAAAGAAAAGGAGAAAACCTGTGCAGAAACAGTTGAGTATTTATCAGTTTATTGGCTTGACTGTTTTATTGACAAACCATCAATACAAATAAACCAGTCACTAACGATAATTACTAATAATAATAATGATGTAAACATTTTTTTTGTATACTATATTTTGTATACATATATTTATGAATTAATTATTAATTCATGTTCATTTCGTTTTTTTTGTTGTTGCCTTGTTATTGACAGTATTAATACAAATAACAAAAACAAAGAGAAAAGTCACCTAATGGTAATATGCACATTATTATTAGTATTAGTAGTAGTAATAATGATGATAATAATAATAATTATGTAATTTGTTTAATGTCGTCATGTTTTTGTGCCATTTAGTCAGGTTTTATGATGTAGATTATATTAATTAAAAATTCTATAAATTAAAATTATAGTTTGTATCTTCAGGAAACCAGAGAAAGCAGGTCAGAAATCGAATCCATCCAAGCGTCATCGCGACTGTCTGAATGCAGAACTGGACATGTTAGCGAGTCTGCTGCCCTTCAGTGCAGATGTCATCTCCAAACTGGACAAACTCTCAGTGCTGAGGCTCAGCGTCAGCTTCCTGCGAGTGAAGAGCTTCTTTCAAGGTAAGAAGGAATGTTTCCTTCCTAAGAAGGAATTGACGTGTGACAACACCGGTAATACCGGTATCACCACGGGGCGGGGCGTTCCCTCTTTTCCTCGCTTTCCTTCTCTTTTAAATAGCTTGTAAAAGCTGTGTGCGCATTTTACTTTCACTTTCAAATAGCGACAATTCGGAGTAAAGCAATTGTTCGTTTTTAGTTTGTTTGAATTTTCCCTCTTTTTCCTCGCTTTCCTTCGCTTTTAAATAGCTTAAAAGCGCCGTGCGCATTTTACTTTCACTTTCGAATTAGTGGCAGTTAGGCGTCAATTGCTTAAATGCAACAACAAAATACAATGTCAAACTCACTTTAGGGTATATATATAAAACGTAGATCTTTTATTAACAAAACAAATAAAAATACACCATGCTATAGGGCAGGCTATGCCTAATATAAAATAACAAATAACTTAGTTTAAATGTACAAAACTGGAAACAAGTAAACCTGAATAATATATAACCAAATAAATAAGAAGCGTAGAACGTTTATTAGCAAAACATGACGCGGTGGGCAAGTGTACGTAACCGGTGTTGCGGCTTAACACCGGTATCACTGTCAGCACCGTCTATCGCGGCAAGCCTAATACCGACTCAAACAACCTCATCTTTGTGTTTCACTCAAGCATATCCTAAAATTTGATTTGTCTCTTGTACATTTTTACCACATTTTCAGGTTGTTTCATGGTGTCTTTTTTTATGTTTTGGGATAATATTAGTACTACATTCTATTGCATTTGCATTTTTATATGGAGTATATAAAAGTTTATGGAAAACATTTCCCTCATGAATTTTTCCTTCCACATGTTCCTTTATTTAGATTTTTAGCTCATATTCTCAGTTTGCTTGTTAAATTATTTATAATTCAACGCAGCATAACTTTAAAAATAAATTAGCTCACTTTTAAAAAAAGATTTTAGTGTAGTTTGTGGGAAAACTTACCAAACATGCTGGTAAATACACATGCAGTTCTTCTGCCATGTAGAATAATGGGATCTATTTCAGGAGAGTCCATATAAGGACAGGTCCATCTGTAGCTTAATGTAATGTAGAGATTGCCCTCTTGCACTCACATGCTGTTTGTTGTGTCCAAACGGATCAGTGTTGAGCTGTTGTGTGGAGAGCTGACAGTATTTGGGCTGTGTGCTGGCAGGTGGGCATCTCTCAAATGTAACTGAACTCATAACAAAGTAATGGAGAGTAATGAAAACAACTTTTAGCAACTAAAAAGCAAGTAAAGATGTGTGCCCAGCATTGTATGCAATATGCAGTGTTTGGAAAGCTTTTTTTGAGACTGTAGATTTCCATGCTGTTCATAATTTAAAGTCAAGTCACATTTATTTATTTATCGCATCCAGGTGTCTTTGCACAGGTTTGTGTATTTGAGCTTTTGGGTAGCTTTTAAACAAACCACTTTAGATTAGTGTAATTCATAACGGTCATGAATACAGTCATTTATAATGCAAGATCTGACCCTGAAGAACTTGAACCGTCATGGATCTGGGTTTGCGTCAACCTTGATCTTTCATCAGCATTTTAATGCATTCATCTTCTCAAGGCCATTTGCATTTTAGGTCTGATCTCATTTTCTGTCACCTTTCAAGCCGTAAATTATAGACAAGTCCATGACAATGTAGAAGTATGTCAGAAATTCTTGTCAGGTTTGAAGTTAATATGTGAACTTGAATGTCATCAAAAAGCTTTTTATGGAAATGTTTTAATTTTTACATGGAAAAAAAAAACTGTGAAGTTGAAGAATTTTCTGAAGAATTTTTTGTTAAATGTAAAACTTTTGCTAATAATTAAAAGAAAAATGATGATATGAATCTACGAACCAGAACCTCATTTATCCAACACTTTTTTTTTTTTTTTTTTTTTCCTCTCTTTGTTGTTGAGTGGGCTGGTTTATTCAATCTTTGCCTGTAGGAACAAAACATCACTTTCCAAGTGTCTCAATTGTTTTTCCAAGACAGCAATAAGTTTCAAGTCGGAGATTTCAATATAAACTCTAATATTTCTCATCAAATTTTTCAAAGACCAAAGGATCAGACCTGCTATCTTACTGTATGGCAACAATTGTCTCTGTTTCAGGTTGTACTTTCTGCTGTGGAACATGAAAGGAGATATTTTGAAAAATGTCTGTGACTGTGATAAAGAAGTGCACTTAAATGTTTTGAAAGTGCACTTGAAGTGTACCTATAATCTTAAAGGGGTCATATGATGTTGCTAAAAAGAACATTTATGCGGTTTAAGGTTAAAAAAACACATTATTTTCCACATACTATACATTATTGTTTCTCCTCTATGCCCCGCCTTTCTGAAACGCATTGATATTTACAAAGCTCATCGGTCTGAAAAGCGAGGTGAGCTCCGATTGGCCAGCTATCCAGTGCGTTGTGATTGGCCGAATACCTCAAGCGTGTGAAAACCCATTACAAGCTAGGCATTTGTTGAATCCAGTGGGGACATAATTACGGATTATAATGATTTATAGTGTCTTTTTACGCGTTGCGTAAATTTCCTCTTTTGGAAGACCTCTTCCTCTTTTGGAAGACCAAACCAAGTAGTTTCGCTTTCACAACGAAACACACGGCGGGCTAGAGTGAGTGGAGGCGGGTGGGCTTGAGAACGGCGTGGCCGGCGGATTCGACGGAGCGTCCGGAGGGCTTGCGGCAACCACATGTGACGACCCCGGGCTAGACTCCGCTTCGTCCACGGTGAAAGCCGATCTGGCGATCCACAGCGCGCAGTTGATGTATTTCCTCAGCGACCAACACGGATCAGCTCTAGGCATGACGAAGCAGATATCGTCCTCTTTTGGAAGGCCAAACAAAGTAGTTTCGCTTTCACAACGAAACACACAGCGCCTTCACGACATGGCAGCGGTGGCAACAACAATACTACAGCGAGAATAAAAGTTAAGCCTTCTTTCTTTGCGTGAACATTTGGGCGGCATTATGCAAATCTTCCCACATCGTGACATAGACATGTGGGGGCGTGTTAGAATGAGCCGTTTTAGGAGGGCGTGGTTGACTCTTAACTTTTATAAAGAATATCTCTTTGGATTTGAGACTTTAGTCTTTGCAACTTTACAGATCTTCTTTATGCACCAAGAGCTTGTAACACTCCGAAGAGAAAGGAAAAATTGAAATCGCATCATATGACCCCTTTAAAAACTGTACTTGCATATAGTATGTTGATGAAATAAAAAGCCACTTAAAGGGATATTTTTTAACCCAAAAATGAATATTCTGTCATTTACTTATCCTCAGGTTGCTCCAAACCGGTATTCATTTCTTTGTTCTGAACATAAAAGCGTAATCAAAGATTCATTGGGGACCATCAATTGTTTAGTTACAAACATTCTTAAAAATGTCTAAAGTTTTTAAAGTTTTGGTGTGCTTTAAAGAAGCGTTGACTTACTAAGCACATGTAAAATACTTGATTCAAATTTGAACTGTAATATGTTATTTGAAGTTACATTAAATATATTTTAAATGCACTAAACTGTAATTTCATCATTACAAATAATTAAAATATATTTAAATATGTGACATACAAGTTTCAATAGAAATGACATTAAAGTATATTTTAGTTTACCATAAATGTTTGTCACTACATTCAGCGATACACTTACACCATATTTCAAAGACAATAGAAGTAATTATGAATAAAGTAAATTCTTAATGACTTGATGAAGAATCTATGTTCCACAGAAATGCTAACAGGTTTAGAATGACATGAGGCCGAGTGAATGATGACATAATTGCCATTTTTGGGTGAACTATTGCTTTAATGTTGGAAGTGAATTTAGGTTTACATCAGTGTCAAAGCGTAAGCAACTAATTCTCCTAATTTCTCTCCTCTCAGCCCGTGCATGTCTTGAGTTACTGTGCAGATTGGTTGTGCATGACTGAGGCCGTGTCTGATCCAGACACCCTGTGTTTTCATTCTCCACCACAAGTCTTAAAACACAGCGGGAAAGCCTTTGTTGGCCCAGCACCATTTTTATAGGCTTGTTCCATACAATTAGAATCAAATCATGTTTGTTGCATGGCCAGGTGAATTCCAACACATTTCCGGGCCTCTCGGGATGTGGAGGGTATAAACTGACCTCAAACTTTTCTTTATTTCCTTTCAGGATAAATAAATGTATTGCTCATTTAAGTGCTTGCCAATGCAAACATCACTTTTATTACTGCTCATACAGTACGTAGGATTAGTGATTTAAACAAACCACTAACCTTCGGTATTAAACTTCAGTGTGTAACTCGTCCTGCACAGTTTGTGCGACAGATGTTTTTTTTTAATTATCAAAGTGAAGTCTCAAAGAGTGACACCTGAAGGGAAGTGTGTAATGATGGCAAAGATCCACCATGTGCAGCGCTTCTGTTTGCCAACACCATTGCTTCCAGTTCCAGCAGATCTTGTTACTGGCAACACTTTTGCTCTGAACCGTCTTAGAGAGGGTCTTAATAGGATTGACACCTGCATACACTGATGCCTAATGATAATGAGAACAATGATCATCATGATGAGCTTGATAGTTCACTCGATTGGTTTAATCAAGCCTCTTAATGTACTGCTTCAATTGAATGTTTTTTAGATGTGTAGATTTGTCTGTTTTTCTCCAAAAAAAAATTCCTACAGTGCAAGATGCATGCTACACTCTCTTAAAAAAGTTAAAAAAGCTGTACTAATATGTACTTCTATGCACCCTTTGGGCCTAAATAATGTACAAAGGTGTATCTTTTCAAACGGGTACTGCCCCAGTGACAGCTTTTGTACCTTTTATTTCTGGGAGTGTAATGGTGATTTTCCACTGCGTGGTACGACTCTGCTCGGCTCGGTTTGCGTTTCCACTGCAGTTTAGTATCGCTTTAGAGTGG